AGTGATGAGAGAATCATGGATCGGCTGCCTCCTGCATGCCCCCCACTGGGGATGGAGCCGCACCCCGGGCCTGCCCTGACCAGGACTCAAACCCTGACCTCCTGGTTCACAGGTCGACGCTCAGCCCCTGAGCCCCGCCGGCCGGCCGGGCTGCTCTGCGATTTTGGAAGGTAATTCTAAGGCGCACTGACGTGTGCAGCGTGCACTAAGCACGGAGTCACAGCGAACGTTCACGGACAGAAGGGCTGACTCGGCGACCCGGGTCGTGGGGAGGTTGCTCCCCAGGAGCCCGCCCGCCCGCGGCGCCCGGAGGGACTCACAGGCAGGTCAGCGGGGACACTTCCGTCCTCCCCTCCCTGGTGGTCAGCACCTCGCGCCTGAGCCCGGCCGTCGCTGCGCAGCCGTCTGTGGCCAGGAGGTCGAAGATGTCGTTGTTGTAAACCTCCAGGATGGAGACCTCGACCCTGGGTCGCTCTGAGGGGTCTTCTGACATAAGCCTGGGGGGCGGGGGCGGGACACACAGGAGAGAAGCCGTCGGGGGACGTCGGACACCCCTCGTAGACGCGGCCAGAGGTGGTTCTGAGGGGACGCGCTCCTATGCCCAGAAGCCCGTGCGCCCCTGAGTGCCGGGCCGGTCACCACCGGCCACGCTGGGGACAGTCAGCCGTGTTTATTTTTAAAATACACTGTGGTTGGTGTCAGAGAAGACGGGAGAGGGAGAGAGAGGAGCATCAAGGATGAGAGAGAATCACGGATCGCCTGCCTCCTGCACGCACCCCACTGGGGATGGAGCCGCACCCCGGGCCTGTGCCCTGGGCAGTAACCCTGACCTCCTGGTTCCTAGGTCGAGGCTCAGCCACCGAGCGCAGCCGGGAGAGGGTGAGGAACGGTGTTGGGAACGCAGCGTTTGTACCGCGTCACCATCCCGATCAACGCGTCAGCCACCAGTCGCCTGGGCTCCGAGCCCACAGACGAGGAAGCGTGGAGGCGGCGGCCCCGACCTGGTCGCCCACCGGCTCTGGGAGCTGCAGAGGCCATGCCGGCCGCGAGGACAGCGGACAGCGGGCGGTCAGCGCCGGCCGCTGTGTGGCTTCTTCAGCGGAAACTCTGCTCTGTTACTGGGAAGACTGAGACCCGAACTCTCGGCTCAGTTCCAGAAGCGCCTGCCACGGCGCCAGGACTTCCCTGGGGCCAAAAATAACTAACTTCTCTCCCTGGCTGACGGGACAAAGTTTAAAGATAGGGATGCTGAGCCCTCAGGGAAAACCCCAGGGCCCCAGGGCAGGGCGACCGCAGCCGGCCCCTCCCCCCTCGTCCCTGCGACAGGCAGTCTGATTCCAGCTCCTGCGCTTGGTGCCCACGAGAGGCCCAGGACGCGTCTGCACCTGAGGGACACCCCTGGCATCCCCCCAGGACAGGAGAGCTAGGACCCCTGCCATGACGCCCTCGAATGAGCAGCTGGAAACGCCACGACGGCTGCGCTGGAAGGAAACGTAAGCTAAATTCTCCGGAAAAAAGCCTGTCGGCAAAGAGTCTGCATTTCTTGATTCTCAACGGCGGGGGTGCCGGGGCGCCCCATGGACGGCGAGGCCTCAAAGGAGGACCTAGCGAGCCAACCAGGGTGCGCGACCCCCTCAGCGCGGCTGATTCTGCGAACAGCGCTGGGAGGCAGCCAGCCTCGCCCCGAAGCCGCAGCGAAGGGCCTCACGTGCAGACCCACTCCTCCCGCGGCCTCCGGTACCTGAAGAGCTCCTGGGCAGCCCTGGGGATGAGTCCGGCGTCGCCCTGTGCCGCGCCCGGGGGCTGCGGACCCAGCATGGTGTAGGTCTTCCCGCTCCCGGTCTGGCCGTAGGCCATGATGCAGACGTTGTACCTGGAAGTGAACGGGGCTCAGGGCAGCCACACGGCTCCAGGGGACCCATCCCTCATAGGAGAGCCTCCCCCGGCTCCGCCTCTGACGGCCTTGCTCACGGCCCCTCCTGGACCTGCCGCCCGGTTTGCTAAGAGGTCCCGGGGCTGCCTGGTTGCGCAGCAGGGACTGAGCCAACCAGTCACACACACATCCCCTCGCCGTGTTTCCCGTGTCAGCGTTCCCTCGTGGGACCCGGGCTGGTCCCCAACCCCAGTGCATGGCCCCCCGCGGAGTCCCACCCCCGAGCCCACTCACTCCAGCTTCCAGGGCAGCAGGGGGGTTGCCTGTGGGAGCTCGTCTCCTCAAACCAGGCTGCCTGTGCCCTGGCGGGTGCTCAGTGGTCGGAGCACCGGCCGCCGCCCCGGAGGGGGAGGGTGTGGCTCCTGGTCCAGGGCACGTGCTGGGCTGCAGACTCCTCCCCGCCCTGGTCAGTGCCCGTGCTGGGGGCAGCAGTCCACATCTCTCTCTGCCCCCTCTCTCCCACGCTCTAAGAATCAATGGGAAAATATACGTGGGGTGGGGGCAGGATTTAAACACAGGCTTTCGGGTACACGAGAGGGGAGGGAGCTGGCACGATTCCCTGAGGATCTAAAAGGCACCCACTGCAGAGGCGGCCAGCGCTGCGGACAAGACCATAGCAAGGACACACCTCCTCCTGCACTGCTCTCCCGGGGACTTGGGACCAGGAAGGCCAGGTCCCCTCTTGCAGGCGGCTGTCCCCCGACGCTGCACTTTGGGGTGCTGCCCCGCAGCTCACTGCACAGATGAGGAATCCTGGCGACCCACACTTCCTGCCACTTGGGTTACGAGCCCCAATGCCAATGGGAGGACCCGAAGATTTGAAAGAGTATTTGACACGTTCTTGCCGTGCAGGCGCAGCTGAGGGGCCCTGCACGCACCGCGTGTCCCCCGCCCTCCCTGGCGCGTCTGCGTGTCTGTCTGGGGAGGACCCCCGACTGCAGCAGGGACACGAGCTCTTTTCTTTTTAAAAATATCTTTATTGATTTCAGAGAGAGAGGAAGGGAGAGGGAGAAACATCAGGATGAGAGAGAATCACGGATCAGCCGCCTCCTGCACGCCCCACACTGGGGATGGAGCCTGCAACCCGGCCTGTGCCCTGACCGGGGATCAAACTGTGACCTCCTGGTCCATGGGTCGACGCTCAGCCCCTGAGCCGTACGCCGGGCGCACACAGGCTTTTAAAGGGCCTTTCACACCACGAGGCACCCGAGGCCAGAAGCTCAGGCCACAGCCGTCAGCCTCGCGTTCCAGGCAGCTCCGGCAAAGGTCGCGCCAGGCACCGGCCTTTGCTGCTTCTGGAATCTGCTCACTAAAGAAAGGCTCTCCCAGCCTCTCGCCCTGGCCGGTGTGGCTCAGTGGGTAGAGCGTCGGCCTGCGGACCGAAGGGTCCCGGGTTCCATTCTGGTCAGGGCACAGGCCCAGGTTGCGGGCTCGATCCCCAGTCTGGGGCGTGCAGGAGGCAGCCAATCAGAGATTCTCTCTCATCATAGATGTTCCCATCTCTCCCTCTCCCTTCCTCTCTGAAATCAATAAAAATATATTAAAAAACAAAAGAAAGAGCGAGCTCTCCCGGGTTCTAGTGGAGGACGTGCCCCGTGGAGGTCAGACCAGGACCCCCTGAAGCAGGGCCTCGGGGTGGCAGCGGGTGGTGAGGGGGGGACGTGACGTGCAGACACGCGGCCCTGGGGCCTGACCCCACAGCAGTCACAGGCACCGAGGCTTCCCCTCGCGTTTGCACGGAGCTGTGCCCAGACCTGAACCACGTCCCCACTCACCCGTCCAGCAGAGACGTGAGCAGGGGGCACACGTCTGCAAACACCGCGGCCTGCCCCTCCGCCGGGCCGTAGACCCTGCGGAGCAACGCGACAGGGGGCATCGTTAGGGGGAGGGGCTCTGGTACCAACACCCCAGCTGGGAACACCCCCCATGCTCCCCCCACACCCCAATGCCATCCAGACTCATCGTTTCCATCAATAAAAGATTGTAGCCCAGCCAGTGTGGCTCAGTGAGCAGCGACCTATGACCCAGGCGGCCACGGACCGATTCCCGGTCAGGACACAGGCCTGGGTTGTGGGCTCCATCCCCAGTGTGGGGCGTGCAGGAGGCAGCCGGCCCATGATTCTCTCTCATCCTTGATGTTTCTCTCTTCCTCTCCCTCTCCCTTCCTCTCTGAAATGAATAGAAATATGTTTTAAAATAAAAGGTTGATTTTATCACTTTTCAAGGCAGCAGTGGGTGAGGCAGATGGAGAGTCATTTCCAGGCGTTGAAAGGGAAGGAGCTGAAGCAAAGCGATCGATGTTTGCAAAGCAGCAAAGAGGACGCGGAAAGGAAGCCGCGTCCTGCGGCCCAACAGCTCCCAGAAGTCGGTCCTCGGTCCGACAGCGACGCGTCCCCATCGTCCTCTGCGGGCGGCCGGTGAGTAAGTATCATTCAATGTCACGGCCAAGCTCCTCGTGTGCTGTCTTCCAGGCCGGGTCAGTGCGTGGACGTCAGCCGCACAGCGGGATCTGCGCCCGCTCTGACGGGGCCGTGGCTAGACGGCGCGAACGTGAGGAGGCAGGGGCTCCCGCAGCCGCGCCCGAGACCCCATGGAGGCGACCAGACCAGAGGGCAGGCGTCAGCGGAAGACCCAACACGCAAAACAAGCACGCGGTTCTGTGTGTGGGATCGAATGTGCGTTCATTTTAAACGTGTTTCCTGGACCCACGTTTCTGTTCAGCTGCCGCCAGACTAGACAGCTCCTGCCGTGGGAGCAGCACATGACTGTCGGACTCCGGGCCCTGCCCCCGAGCTGTGCCGCACCTGGGAGGCCACGCAGAGCGAGTGAGTGAGGGTGAGGGTGGGCTCCTCGATGACCTTATAACCGTCCACCCCCAAGTCAATCCAATGTGAACGCAGAAGGGACAGTGAGCGGCTCAGGGTGCCTGGGCTCCCGCTGGCGACTCAACCGGAACCCGCTGTGGTGGCCGCAGCGCCCGCCTCAGTGCATGGAGGCCACGGGGGACAGCCGTCTGTCCCCCTCTCTGAAGTGGATGGCGCTTTTAGAAATCACGGCATCGCCGTCATCAGGCGCCGAAGTTAGCGGTGCCAACGTGAGAAACCTCAAACCTGCGAAGAACTGCTGTGAGCTTGAGCCGAAACGGCAGCACATGCCGGGAGCAGCGTCGCCATGGCACCTGGTTTTGCATGTCAGTCACAGGAGAAGACGTGTGCGGGTCATGGGAAGGCCACTGGCGCTGGGTTAGGGGCGGGAGAAAGTGAAGGGAGGG